TACCCATCAACAGATGAATGGATAAACAAACTATGGTACATACACACAATGGAGTAGTATGCAATGATAAAGAACAGTGATGAATCTGCGAAGCATCTCAACATCGATGAATCTGAAGGGCATACGCTGAGTGAAATAAGTCACTCACAAAAGGACAAATATTGTGTGAGACCACTACTATAAAAACTCATGAAAAAGTTTACACACAAAAAGGAACAATCTTTGATGGTTGCAAGGGAGGGGAAGGGTAGGGATGGAAAAACACTAAATATACAATAGATAAGTGGTAACTTTGGTGAAGGGTAAGACAGTACACAATACTGGGGAAGCTAGCACAACTTGTCAAACGCAAGGTCATGGAAGCTCCATAGACACCTCCAAACTCCCTGAGGGACTGAATTACTGGGCTGAGGATTGGAGGGACCATGGTCTCAGGGAACATCTAGCTCAATTGGCATAACATAGTTTTAAAGAAAATGTTGTACATTCTACTTTGGTGAGTAGCGTCTGGTATCTTAAAAGCTTGTGAGCAGCCATCTAAGATACTCCACTGGTCTCACCCCATCAGGAGCAAGTGAGAATGAAGAAAACCAAAGAGAAAAGGGAAAGATTAGTCCAAAGGACTAATGGACCACAACTATGACAGCCTCCACCAGCCTGAGTCCAGTACAACTAGATGGTGCCCGGCTATCACCACTGACTGCTCTGACAGGGATCACAGTAGAGGGTCCTGGACAGAACTGGAAAAAAATGTAGAGCAAAATTCTAACTCACAAAAAAAGACCAGACTTACTGGCCTGACAGAGACTGGAGAAACCCTAATAGTATGGCCACCGGACACCCTTTTAACTCAGTAATGAAGTCACTCCTGAGGTTCACCCTTCAGCCAAAGTTAAGACAGGCCCATAAAACAAAATGAGACTAAAGGGGCACATCAGCCCAGGGGCAAGGACTAGAAGGCAGGAGGGGACAGGAAAGCTGGTAATAGGGAACCCAAGGTTGAGAAGGGAGAGTGTTGACATGTCATGGGGTTGGTAACCATTGTCACAAAACAATATGTTTACTGTTTAATGAGAAGGTAGTTTGTTCTGTAAACCTTCATCTAAAGTACAATAACAAAATAATAAAGAGTTTAGGGGCCTGGAGGAGAAAGGATATTTAAGAGGCTTACAAGACTCAGTCTTGCCCTCAAGCAACTTACATTCTTTTAGGTTACCCCATATGAAATTGCCATTTTAATAGGTGAAAATGACCAAATATCAACACTTTTATCTGTCCAGCATATAATCGGATAAGTTAAACAATCACCTGTTTAAACAATAACAACGAGTATGAAATAGCATCAAATTCTGTATTGAATTATGTGATATAAAGGTTTCAATAACTGGAGAGAAGCACAGGAGGTCAGCGACAGCTGAAGAAGCCAAAGGTGACTTTTCAGATCAAGAAAGAGTAGATCTGAGCCTTGAAGCCTAGGTGACATATAAGTAAGTGCTAAGAAAAGAAGAGAGAACGCAGATAGAGGAATGACATGGGTGAAGGCATGGGAGCAAGAGTAAGCATCTTCTACCCAGGGAAAAGTTTGCTCACAGCAGAAGATATATATTGAGAACTGGAAAATGCAGCAGGAGTGGTAGTCTAGAATCAGTTTATGGAGACACTTGCACACCAGGCAAAATGTAAGCTCTAGTTCTGTCCAGTTCACTCTTGTGTTCAGTATCTGGGACATAGTAACTCAATGAAGTATTATGGAATGAATGAGTAAAGAGTTTTTATTGATGATAAAATAAGACTTCACTGAAGCTTTGAGGGAAATATGATAACATGATGAAAGTGATGTCTAAAACTGATTAATATGTATGCTGGATGGATCAAAGACTGGGATCAGTGAATGAAATTAGATTATTAATCTAGAGAGTGGTAACGAGAGCATGGATAAAAAGAGACTTATACTAGAGACATTTAAAAGAGAATCAACATAAACTCTGAAAATATGCTAAATGATGGAAGCCAGTCACAAAAGACCACATCTGTATGATTCTGTTTATGTGAAATGTCTGTAATGGGCAAATCTTTAAATACAAAAAGTAGGTTATTGGTTGCATAGTCCTGGGGGATAAGGGGGAAAGGAGTGTTACTGCTAATAACCAAAACCAAATCAAACCTGTTGTCATCAAGTTGATTCTGACTCATAGCGACCCTATAGGACAGAGTAGAACTGCCCCATAGAGTTTCCAAGGAGCACCTGGTGGATTCGAACTGCTGACCTTTTGGTTAGCAGCTGTAGCACTTAACTACTACTCCAGGTAACCACTAATAGGTACAAGGTATTTTTTTGGTGTGAGTGTTGAAAATGTTCTAAAATTGTGGTGATGATTGCAAAACTGTGAATATACTAAAAACCATTGAATTGTGTGCTTTAAATAGGTGAATTGTGTGGTGTATAAATTATATCTCAATAAAGCTATTATTAAAAGAGAGGGAAAAAAACTGGTGAATGACAGGATATATGTGTTTGATGGAGATAATGAGCTACTCACTACAGACCGCTTAATTTCCAGTTTGATTCTCAGTGAAATAACATGAATGGCCATTAATACCATTATTATTTAATATTGTTTTAGAAGTGCTGGACAATGCAATAAGACATGACATATAAACAAGCGATATAAATATTAGAAAGGAAGGGACCAGGGGATTATTTCCAGAAAATCCAAAAAGATCACCTTAAACAGATTAGCATGGAGGAAAATTCAATAATATGTTCGTATGTGCCAATAATATGTTCTAGTGCCAATATTTTCTAGTGTACCAGCAGTAGCTAATAAGAAAAAAACATTATACAAAAGTTTAACCTTGAAATAACCTAAATAATAAATGTGCATGGCTTATACAAGGGTAAAAAAACCACACATTTTTTATTAAACAATTATAAAAGAAGATTTAATAAGGTAGAGATATGTATCATGTTTTAAATAAGAATTAGCTCTAAGTAGGAATAAATATACATTGCTGGCAGTGTAATCTGGTAAAATAAGAGCCTTCAAAATGTTCATACCCTGTCTCCTAAACAGAGGAAAAGCTTTATGCATAGATGCTAATTTTATCTTTTAGATACTGGATGATACCTCTCATGTCCTCTGTGAGGTCTTCTCATCCTCAGTTCCTTCAAACAATCTTTACTCATCTGGCTTCCATACTATTCTACGTGCTGGTTGTTTTCTCCTAAATGAATTATAGTTTGTTAGTGCCTCTCTTTTAATTGTGGTATTAACCTTAGTTGTTTAGGGAAGAGTGAAGTAAGGAAAACCAAACTCAGTTGAAGTATTGTTACCACAATTTAGAAATAACCCTATGACATATTGGAAAGTGTTTACTGGTGGTTGGATATATGATTTGGTAGTGGTTATTTCCTAGAAAGTATGTATTATGTGTTGCTATTAGGAGCATGCCTTGCTGAGGTTTATTGGAGTTAACTGTCCCTGAAAGAAAATAAATAAAGGAGGTCAATCTATGGCTTCCTAAAGATAATGTGGAGAAGAGCAAGTTCAAGTATGGTGGCACATTTATCTGCTTGACCCAGGATAATCTCTACACCCTTTCTTAAGGAAAAAAACCACTCTTATAAAGCAGTAAACCTGATTTTTTTTGTGCACTTTTTGCATTTTAATCAAAAAAACATACACATTGAATGTGGAAAAACACAAAAATACACAAAGTGAAAGATTTACTTCTCCAACTTGTTCCCCTCCCTAGAAGTAACCACTACTATGTTTATTTTTAAAACATCATGGGATTTTTCCATGATATTTTAAAAACTACCTCAGTTTTTATCTCCAATATTAATGTATAGTTTTATTTTATGGAAGAACACATGATCACATTCTTTGTAGTCTTTTATTTTTGTATTAACCAGTACTACTACTTACTCATCTTGGCATTGTAATTTCTCTTTAGGTATGGTTTCCTACATTTCCCTCAGATGTTATTTTTATGTTAACATTTGCAAGAAAGTATTCAGTTATTTCCAAAAGAAAATTTATTTTGTTCTTTTTTTTTATATCAAAATTAGCGTGTATAGGCACATGTGTTAATGTGAGTGAAATAAAGGCAAATTTTATCTTGTTAGCGTGTGAACTCCTGAAGTGTTTGAAGCCTATACAGTGTTAGTTAAGTGAGGAGGAATCTGACTGCCCATGGGTCCTAAACTCATGGTTGTTTGCAGGCCCAACAGGTGAGACAAGCAGATGCAAGACACTAGGGCCTGGGGGGATGACTGTCACCAGAGGAAATGTGCCTTACCTGGAGCAAGCAGCCCCATCATCATAGTAGAATTCAGGCTTAGTTTTGTAAAATCTTCTATCTTCCAGGTGAAGCCAAAATCTGGACTTTTCTGTGGAACCTCTCAATCTTTAAACAGGCTCATTTTTAAAAAACAATGTACAAGATTTTTTTAAAAAATCTATAGGCTGAATATGGCCCTCAAACTGCCAGTTTACAACCTCTTTGTATTATTATACTTACCAGCAGCAAAAATACATATATACATATATGTTTCCCCCACATTTGCTGTATAGTCTTAAGAGGATATGGCGAAAAGGTGTTATTGAATTTACAACATAAAATTCTACATTGATATGTACCCTTATGTTTTGACTTTATTTTGGGAAATCCATCACACTCCTCTTATACCACACCGTAACTGTGAACTTGATCTCTGGAAGTAGGGCTCCCCATTTCTTGGTCCTCAATGCCCTGTACCACATTACAAAGAAAGGAATACAAAAGAAGTTTGAGCATCTTCATTTTCCAACCTCCAGTAGTTTAAATGAGAGTTCTTTCAGACCTAAAATACTATGTCTTTTCTTTCTCCTAGTTGCTGAGAAATTGTAATTAGAGGTTTTCCTGTTGTGTAAAGGAAAGGAATTCCAGTCCTCCTGCATCCGCAAGACTTCTGTTCTCAATGAATTTGCTTCCCTGTCCCATTTCTCTTTCTGCAGGTGATAGAGGGAAAGCTGGCTCCATTCTTGGGCAAGGTCATTAAATTTGCCACCTCACACGTGTACAGCTGCAGTCTGTGTAGCCAGAAGGGGTTCATCTGCGAAATCTGTAACAATGGAGAGATCCTCTACCCCTTTGAGGATATTTCAACAAGCAGGTACTGAATATCTTGTCTCATAAAAGAATACCTGAATATGTCACATGCAGTTTGATTTGGCAAAGGAAGGCCAACTTTTAGTCAAGTACTGTGTCTCTGTCTCAGCCTGAATTGGGTTTCCATTATACTTAGAGAACATTTTTTTACCCTATGGTTTCTTATATTTAATTTCAGCTTTTACCTTGCTACCTTTTTCCAGAATGAGATAACAGAGTTGAAAAGAAACATACCCTAGCTCTGCCTTTTTAGGTAACAGTGTTCAGATTCATTTTTAGAATGAAGATTGGGGAAGAAGAATCTTTACAACCTTTTCAGGGCCAAGTGAAAGGCAATAGGAAATGGCAGTCATAGAGGAAAGCCAAAATTGATGGGCCTCTAGGAATAAAACTAGAGGACCCCGGTGAACAGCTGTCTGGCTCACCACATACTTGTCTCCACAGATGCACTGCAGTGTAGTGATGAAAGTTTTAGGACCCAAAGGAGAGAAAAGTGGAAGTTTATGTGGGATTATTCTTCTAACCAAAGTAATATTTGGGCATCATCACATCCATTGATTGATGGATAATTTTTTCCGCACTAACATAAGAGCAGGGTTTTTACTGTTGCTTTTTTTGAATCACAAAATGATACATATCACTTTTCCTTTCATCCCAAAAGTGTAATAGAAATATACACTGTTTGTGTGTACATGCACTGGATTCTTTGGGCATGAATATAATGGCTCATTTCCCACCCTGCAGGGCTCACTTACACTGTGGTTCAGAACAGAAGGTGAGGCATATAGCCAGGGAGAGTTGAAACATGTAGGGTAGAGCTAGGTCTTAAGAGTTGACTCAGCCATTCTGGCCTCTTCTTAAGCCCAAAGACTATTTGTAAACTCCCAGGAAGTTGGGTTGGCCACACATACAGAAATACAGACACAAAAACACACAACCATACGTACGCTGCAGTCTCCAGTTTCTTGAGTACAGGTTCTTGACCCATAGCCTAGAGATTTAGACACACCTCTTCAAAATGCATCCCACACAAAAACTTGTACACAAATGCTTATAGCATCACTGTTTATAATAGCCAAACAATGGAAACAATCCAAATGTATATCAACTGATGAATGGATAAACATAATGTGGTATATCCATCCAAAAAAAAGTACTAGTACATGCTACAATGTGGATGAACCTTAACAAAATTATGCTAAGTAAAAGAAGTCACTCACATAAGGCCACATATTGTATGATTCCATTTATATGAAATGTCCAGATAGGCAAATCCATAGTGACAGAAAGTAGATTAGTGATTGTCAGAGACTTGGGGGAAGGAGGAAAGGAGAAGTAACTACTAATGGATACAAGTTTCTTTTTAGGGTGATAAACATGTTCTGGAATTGAATTGTGGTGATGGTTATATGATCTTGAGAATACACTAAAAACCACTGAACTGTATACATTAAGAGGGTGAATTGTATGGTATGTAAATTATATCTCAATTTAAATTTTTTTAAATAAAAAAATAAAATTCAATTTAAAAACATACATCTAATTGAGTAGATCATATGCTGGCCCACAAAACAAACCTCAATAAATTTAAAAAGATTGAAACCATACCAAGTATGTTCTCTGATACAATGGAATTAAAGATCCACAATAGAAAAAATTCTGGGAAACTGCAAAATATTTGGCAATTAAACAATATACTTCTCAATAACTCATGGGTCAAAGAAAAGATCAAAAAGGAAATTAAAAAAATATTTTTAATTGAATGGAAATGAAACCAAACGCACTGCTGTTGAGTCGATTCCCCCTCATAGTGATCCTATAGGACAGAGTAGAACTTATGGCATACAGTTTCAAAGGCTGTAAATCATTATGGAAGCAGACTACTCCACCTCCTTCTCCATATCCTGCAAGTGAGCAGGTCGGGTTTGAACTGCTGACCTTTCAGTTAGCAGCTGAGCACTTTAACCACTGTACCGCCAGGGCTCCAAAAATGAAACAATATATCAAAATTTATGGGATGTACTAAAGTAGTGCTTAGAATGAAATTTATAGCTATGAGTACCTATATCCGGGAAGTAGGAAGGTCTTAAATCAATAACCTAGGATTCTACCTTAAAAACTAGATAAAGAAGAGCAACCTAGACCCAAATCAAGCAGAAAAAAGGAAATAATAAAGATTAGAGCAGATATTAATGAAATAGAAAACAGAAAAACAATAGATCAGTGAAACCAAAAGTTAGTTGTTTGAAAAGATCAATAAAATTAACACACCCTTAGCTAGACTGACCAAGGAATTAAGAGATAAGACAGAAATTGCCAAAATCAGGAATGAAAGAAGGTATATCACTACTGACTATAAAGGAATACTATAAACAACTTTATACCAATTAATCAGACAACTTAAATGCAATGGACAAATTCCTAGAAAGACACAAAGTACCAAAATTGACTGTGGAAGAAACATAAATATTTGTAGACCTATAACAAGTTAAGAAATTTTATTAGTAATTTAAAAATCTTCCCATAAAGAAAAATCCAGGCCCAGATAGCTACATTAGGGAATTCTGTTGAATATTTTAAAAAATAATGCCAATTCTTCACAAACTGTTTCAGAGAATGGAAGATGAGAGAACATTTCCCAACTCATTTTATGAATTCTGTATTACCCGCATACCAAAGCCAGATAAAAACATGACAAGAAAACTGCAAACGAATATCCTTCATAAGCAAAGACACAAAACTCCTTAAAAGAATATTAGCAAACCAAATTCAGCGACATGTAAAAAATATTATACATCCTGACCAAGTGAGATTTATCCCAGTAAAGCAAGGTTGATTTAGCATCCAAAAATCAATTAATTTAATACACTATATACCTTAGGCTCTAAAGACACAAAACCAGTGAAGTGTATATGTGTGTGTATGTATGTATGTATCTATCTATCTATCTATCTATCTATGTATCTATATATATATATAAAGAGAGATTTATCTCAAGGAAATGGCTCACATGGCTGTAGAGGTTGGCAAGTCCCAAATCCGTGAGTCAGGCGTCAGGCTGGAGGCTTCTTCTGACTCCTATAAGCTGCAGGGGCTGATGAACCCAAGATTAGCAGGTCAGATGGCAGGCCACTGGCTCATGGGCTGTGGAGGCCAACAAATCCAAGATTCGCAGGTAAGATAGCAGACTGCTGACTCTCAGGCTGCAGAGCAGGCAATACAACGGGTATTTGGCTCAAGTCCCAAGAACCGGAGGTCAGATGATGATGAGCCAGATGCAGGACCCAGAGCAAGCAAGTGAGCTTTGCCAAAATATCCATATATATATTGGATGTAGGTCACACCCCTGAGGAAACTCCCCTTACAACTGATTGGCTGATCACATCAGATCACATCATGGAAGATGACTACATGATTACAAAACTGCCAAACCACTGAGAATCATGGCCCAGCCAAGTTGACACACAACCTTAACTATCACACTATATTAATAAAATAAAAGACAAAAACTCAACAATTATCTAAACAGACACATAAAAAGCATTTGACAAAATCCAGCACCCATTTACGAAAAAAAAAAAAATCGTAATTAGAGATAGAAGGAAACTTGCTCAACTTGATAGAGGGCATTTACAAAAAACCTACAGCTAACATCACACTTAATGGTGAGAGATTGAATACTTTCCCTGTAAAACTGGTAACAAGGCAAGGATGTCTGTTTTTGTCTCTTTTATTTAACATTGTAGAGGTTCTAGCCAGTAAAATAAGACAAAAAGAGAAAATGACAGAGAGAGAGAAATTAAAGGCTCAGATTGGGAAAAAGAAAACTGCCTTTAGTCACAGAGGACAATCTTTTATGTAGGAAATTTTAAAGAATCCACACACACAAAAAAGGAAACTGAAACCGCAAGAGTATGACCCCCAGACACCCTTCAGCCGAAGATTAGACAGGCCCATAAAACAAAACAAGACTAAAGGGGCACACCAGCCCAGGGGCAAGGACTAGAAGGCAGGAGGGGACAGGAAACCTGGTAATAGGGAACCCAAGGTCAAGAAGGGAGAGTGTTGACATGTCATGGGGTTGTTAACCAATGTCATAAAACAATGTGTATACTAACTGATTAATGAGAAGCTAGTTTGTTCTGTAAACCTTCATCTGAAGTGCAATTAAAAAAAAAAAAAGAAACTAAAGACTCTGGCACTAATAGCTACAACAAATATTAAACACAGCCCAGCTCCTAGACAGATTAGCATAAAACTTCAAACTAAAAGACAAGTTACCTCAGTTCTTATTACCAATACATCATGTCTAGGTTTCAACATAAAATTACAAGGCATATTACAGGCAAGAAAAACACAGTCTAAAGAGACAAAGCAAGTTTCAGAACCAGACTCAGATATGACACAGATTCTGAAATTATTAGACAGGAAATTTAAAATAACTATTATTTATATGTTAAAGACTGAAGAAAGAGCAAGCAGGATGATACCAAAATATCTTCACCTGGGAATATCATAGTCAAATTGCAAAAGACCAACAATTAACTCAAAATGGATCTTAGGCCTAAATGTAAAATGCATAAATGTGTAAAACTTCTAGAAGATAACACAGGATAAAATCTAGGTGATCTTGGGCTTGGTGATGACTTTTTTTGTTTTGTTTTTTAATCGTGAAAAAATATATTTGGCATAAAATTTGCCATTTTAACCGTTGTTAAGTATATAATTCATTGGCATTAATTACATTCACGATGTTGTGCAACCAACATCACCATCTGTTTCCAAAATTTTTTATCATCCCAAACAGAAACTCTGCCTGTTAAATAATCACTGCCCATTCCTCCCCTCCCCTGCCTCTGGTAACCTCTAATCTACTTTCTGTATTCTAGATATTTCATATAAGTGGAATCATACAATATTTGTTCTTTTGTGTCTGGCTTATTTCACTTAGCATAATGTGTTCATGGTTCATTCATGTTGTAGCATACATTAAAATTTCATTCC